TCTCTCTTTGTCTCTCTCCTCTCCTCTTTCTCTCATACACTGATATTGAAGCATCATTTATTAATACAGGAAATCATACGGTATTACATAAATAAGTACAGTCACTATATGTCAGTTAACTTTTGAAAGGAAAAAATTTCTTTCTAGAGAATTTAAACTGCCTCACTTTCTAAAAGTTAGCCACATGCCAAGCTATCATGAGGTTGTCTGCTAAACAACAAATTTTAGAAAACACAAGGGTAGGTTATGAAAACTAAAACATAAACATTGTTCTAACACAACATTCTTTGTTTAAGAGAATCTACTTTTATTATATTTATTAATACAGAAAATCATTAACATCCATTATTCTTTCATTAATTAGAGAATCTGATTCTTATATTACTTTAAATGGGGAACAATGGGACCATGACTCAGTGAATAGAGTTCTCGTTTCATGTCTGAGTTACCATAAATCCCACTCTCGTCATGCCAAGTGTTTATGCCAAATCTTTTGGAACCATCTAGATCTGTGAACTGAGAACGGCACTTTCTGTGGACTATTGAGTAATCATCTCGACAGGCATAATCCTGTGGGGAGAAAAAAGAGAAATAATGCTTGATAACTAAATATGTAAAAGGATACATTCTCCAAAATTTGATCTCAGTATTTCCAAGATCCAAGGCAAATTATCGATAATTGATTAATTTGGTCTTTCAGTAAATGTCTTGATGAAAATCATGGCTTCTGTGTTTAAAAGCACTTTAACCTCTGAAAGAAGACTCCTGCTCATGGCTGTTTTACTTATGAAACTAAAAAAATAAGTTGCTACGCATGTAAATTTTTTTCCAAATGCAAAGTGCACAGCATATAAAGTAATTTGAATTTTATGATCATCTAAGACCAAAACAATTACAATGTAACTACCATTCAACATCCTTCTTTGGTTGTTAATGTAAGTTGGAGTCATCCCAAAGAACAATGTATTGGGTTGTATCTTTAAGAATTGGTACCAAGTCGTACTTCCCCTAACAATGGAAGATGCCAAGCTCCATTATTCATTGCTATGAGACATTGTCCTCAACAAAACCCACTATAATTGAAGATGTTTATACTTAAGCCATTTCATGAAAGTTTCATTGTAATAAAATGAGACATTATCACTGACCATTGCCCAAGGAAAATATTGATTCTTTCAGATTATACCAGGGTGATGGCAGGCATGGAACATAAAGCCTGCTGACTGATTACCTAATTTCTTCTTAAATTGGTTCTACTTTTAAAGTACCATGATAATATTGAAATTAAATCACCAAAGCCGTAAAACAAGGGAAGAACACCAAAGTAATTCTAATCTTAGATTGGTTTTGTTGAAAATAATTGAAAAAATTAACCATATGTTCAACCATAATGGTGTTCATTTATCTATTGAGTGGCTATTATGGGTCAGTCACCGTACTTCAGGGCTTATGTATTTTAATCTATAATGATTCTGAAATATGAAATTTTACTCATACTTTTCACATAAGAAAAGATAATTTGCTTAAAATCTCAGATGGATAAAGAAAATCAGTAATAAGTGAACAAACTCAGGTGACAAATTAGACAGTCTGGCTACCATAGTCATTGTCCCTCCAGAAAGTTTTCATAATTAAGACATGAAAAGAAATATGAACAATATAATCCTAAGGCTCAACAATATTCCTATCACTATTTTATGTAGTTTGGATATTGCTTTTGGCTATTTCTTTGGTCTTTTGGGGGTGGCTCAATGGTTGGTAATTGGGTGGCTGGACGGTGGGTCAGTCAGGCAGAAGTACTTTAGGACTGGAAGGCTGGAACTGTATCTTAGTGAATCAGTGCTCGCCTAGCATACTCAAGACCCTTAGATTCAGTCCTCAGTAGCACTGCAAAAATAAAAATAATGCTTGAGTATCACTGGCCCACACTGTCCCCTCATGCTCTCATTCCCATGGCTACTGAGGTCAAACTAAAGAGAATTTCCAATGTAAGCTCAATTGTGTCCCTTTAGCATCTCCTAGGAGGTGGGGATGACATGTTTTTATGCCCAGAGTGACAAGATGTGATGTTTTGGGAAAACAATTCTGGCAGCAGAAGTGGAAAGGACCGGATCAAAGAACTATGGTTAGAATTAGATTGAGTAACTCACATCATTAACCAACAGAGGCATGAAAAATACAGCCTATACACACAGTGAAAAAAATATTTGACCCCTGGAGAAATAAAATACTAAAAATATTCTTCCATGTAGATAAATCTTGGGAAGTTTGCTAAGTGAAAGAAGAAAAAAACCACATGATTTTCTTTATGGGAAGCCTACGGCAGGCAAAGCCACAGAGACAAAAAGTAAAATAGTACTTGCCAGGGAATGAAAAGTTGGGTAAGAATAGGACTGTTAATGGCTATGAAATTGATTAAGATGATGTCCATAAAAGCCTCAAGTATATTAAATACCAATTCATCATACACTTTAAAAGGAGCGGATTTTATGGTATAAGGAATTATGTCTTAGCAAGACTGTTCGTTTTTGTTCTAAAAAAACATTTTGAAGGGGAAAATTCTGGAGTTAGAAAAACTAGCTAAGAGACTTGCCTGTTGACACACATTACATTGTTTCCCATTATCAGTGGTGGACCAGCAAACCAGCTCTAAAACCAAACAAACGAAAAAAGCTTAATATGTAACATTTGCCAGTCTCCTTGGCATAGAGCCTCCCTCCATAGCCAATTTCAAGTTAATCAGACCAAAGTCTGTGAATGCTGAGTTAGGAAAACATGACGCTAATCAGCTGCTGCAGACCTTAAGAGCTGGCCTCGGCCCCCCTGGGATCCACTTTTCCCTTTCCCATTTCCCAGGGCAGAGTTGCCAGACAGCCTCAGTAGGCTCAACCCCAGCACCAGGCCCAGGGGCAGAATTTCATAGGCCTAAGAAAATTGGCATAGTCTCTGGAACAGTAGTGGGTTCAGTATTAGCCAAGGGGTTTGGCTCTGTTCAAGCAGATTACAGCCCAAGATTTTGTTCAATAGTTTATATGAAAGGATTTTTTTTTCCCCATAATTAGCGATAAATAAGAAGCATCCAGCCAGGTTGCTATTGGCAGCAACTATGTTGAAACTCCCACAATTATGACAGCATGAAGTCAATAGCTTAAAAGGCAGAAAAGAATCAGTAAGAAACATGCTGCAGTGTCATGTTAATTCTTTCCTGAAGTCTGGTGTTTGAAAGCATGTGAGCCGAGGAACTGCTTCGAGGGCCTGATTCAACTGGAGCCGGGTTTTGTGCAACTTCCTATGACGCACCAGCACAATCCGCAATATGGGGATACTGAGGCACTTCAGACCAGAGAGGAAATGAGTGAAAACCAAGGCGAGCGGGCGGGTATAGAAAGTAGAGGACAGGCAAATGGTGCCTATGTGATGAAACGGACAGCCAGGAATCAGAAGGAAGCCAACATGGAATAGGTACACAAAAAGTAGAGCAAACTTGTCGGACTCTGAGGATAGAACTTATTATAAGAAAGAAAAGCGATTTCAGAATTGAATAAGAAAAGCATGAAACAGATACACCAAGAATAATCTTAAAGGACCATAATATTCATCACATCTCACACCTGGAATATTGGGAGCTCAGTACAAGCAAGCAATTTGATGTGTCACCGGTAAAAGAGGAGAATTTAAGACATTAAATACTATATTTTCCTCCTTTCAGTGTATATAACCAACCACTCACTTGCCTAGGATGGATACTAAATCTTGTTTCAGGAAAAATGCCAACTAAAGAGCAAAGTGATGTCGGCTTGGAATATGCAAAATAGGATATTTTTAGCTAGACAATAGCCTTATAATCCAACTGACAATCTTGAGGACTGTAGAATATCAATGCCCAAATGTCAGATCACAGAGTTGTATAAAGGCACACAGAAAACTTCTTGGCTCTGAAGGCTTGGGGAAGAAATAGAGATGGAAGGAAGATGGAGATGAGTCTATATGGGGAATTGAAGGAAGGAAAACAGGTCAATATATTTTCCAATTTCCTTCTTTAATTATGCAAAGTTCCTTCACCCTGGACAGAGAGATGTATATTAGATAAATAAGAACAATGGCAGAAAGACTTAGGGAATCTCCTATCCTCATTCCTCTTAAGGACTCTTGAATTGTACTGCCTTTCAGTAGCCCTTTCACTTGCCTGGAATAGTCAGGCGGAAGAAGCCTCTCGGATTCATCTGTACTGAGCCCCATTCAGGGGCCTGTGTCCTACTACACTCTGGAAGTGCTGCCAGTCTGCAGAAAGATGTACTAATAGGAACTCCAGAGCTAAACACTGAAGCTGGGACTGAAAGAGTCACACAGCCATCTGTGGAGTCTAGAGTAGGGGTGTGGAAATGAGTTTGAGCCACTCCAGACTTGCCTGAGAGACACGCCTCTGGCATCCAACCAAGCTCAGATAGAAGGCAAAAAAGACTGCCAATTACAACACCCACATGTTGGTCACTAAGAAGAACAAAGAAAAGAACATCAAGAAGACCACAGTGTCACCCTAGACACTGGAGCAGGCTGAAAACACAGTATGTAACACTCCATGCTTTCCCTTTTGGCACTGAGATGCCAAGCCACACCCCTCTATTTATATGCTGGATGTCATCTTAGGAAGAGTCATCCTTACTATTACTGTATAATCACCTATGCATAGTAATGTAAAACAACTGTCATTTTATTAGGTCTCAAATTCTTTGAGTCAGGAATTTGGGCAAGGTACAGTAAAGGCAGCATGTCTATGCTCCACAATATCCAGAGCTTTGCTAAGAAGATTTGAAAGTTGGAGGCAAAACAAGGGCTAGAGACTGAAGACTCTCTTGTTCTAATGGAAGTTATGCTGGTTGTCTGCCAGCATCTCAGCTGGGTTGTTGGCTGGAACCACTGTCTGGATCTTCAATGCATTTGCTTGGGCTTCTTCATAACATGGTAACTAAATTCTGAGGATGAGCACCACACAAAGTAATCAAAGAAGAAGGTATAGTATTTGTTATTATATCTAACCTCAAAAGTCACATGGCATCACTGGTGCATCAGATCGTAATCTTAAAGGACCATAATGTACAAAAGCAACAGACACCGATTGTTCAGATTCTAAGGTTCTGCCTCTCAGTGGAAGAATTTCATAATCACATTGTGAGCGATGTGGGATAGGAGCATGAGTTGAAATCTCTCTTTTCTTTTTTTTTTTTTTTTTGGTGGAACTGGGGACTGAACTCAGGCCCTTGCACTTGCTAGGGGAAAAGCACTTACTCCACTGAGCCATCTCCCTGGCCCCTGAAATCATTTTTGTAAAAATCCTCTTTCTTTTGCATCTTTCTCTTTTCAGGAAGAAAAGTAGGACATAACAGGATCCCCAAGATCACGTGCAGATCTGATGATTTTCTAGGTTATAAATACGCAGTTGTACTGGTGGCTGTGGTATATTATAGCAGGAAGATACAAAGCAAATTCAACAAAGGAAATGGCCTAAAGTCCAGAGGAAACCAGGTGCAAAACCCTAAATATCCTCTCTCAGTGGAGTCACACAAGATGAT